GAGCCGGCCGAAGCCGCCGGGCAAGAGAGACATGGCTGAAAGCCTTTCCTGGGAGCTCGGTGTCTGCACGGGTTAAGGCGTGCGGGGCGAGGTGGAAAAGTTGCTGTTGAATTTCACTTTAAGGCACCGGACAGAAAGCAGCGAAATGGATGACTTCCGCTCCATCTGCCTGCTGTCCCTGGCCATGCTGGTCGCCTGCTATGTGGCAGGGATTATCCCCTTGGCAGTTAATTTTTCCGAGGTAAGACAGCTTTGCCAAACCGCTCGTTGGTTGCTAAGGAAGAATAGCAGAAACTAGATGGAGAGATCTGCCAGGAGGAGTTAGTTCTGTCCCCTTTCAAGTACAGCCGTGCTGCTCGGGGGGATGTAACTTCAAAAGATTTTTAAGGAAGTTGTGAATGTGGTATTTTCATACAAAATCACGGTGTAAAATTATGCTTGTTCTACAACGTGTATAAAAGCCATTTAAGCGTACCAGATTTCGTCCAAGCTACAGATGAAGTGAAGTCTCAGCATGTAATGGAAGGACATGGTAGGAGCTGGACATCGTTATTCTTAGAAACTTTTGAAGTCAGGTTAACTTTTACTTTGTGCCTATGGGCTACTCAGTTAAGGCTTTTAAAAGCAATTCAGAGAGCATTCTCAGAAAACTTTGGTTTTGTTCACAACTTCTGCTATTGAAAAGTTAAACCTTAGCTCTTTGGTTACAACACAACTTCAAGTTGTGCTCCTATCCCACGTAACTCAAGGCATTCTTCTGGAAAAATAACTTGGATACATAAGGTGTTGTTAAAGGAGAGGAAGACTTTCATGGATTGAATGAGTTTCCAAGCTCCAACAGGAGTTCAGAAGTAAATGTATTTGAGTGCTTCTACAATATGATTGTTGAGGTGATGAGGTACAGTCTCTGGAAGTCTCCTAATATCCTCTGATGCTGAGGGGTTTTCTAAGTAATGATTGTTGTATACAGGTGTGGTGTAGTGAGAGTTCAGTTGTTCTGAGGTAGTAAGAGCTCCCTTATGAGAGGCTTCCCATTTCTACTTGAAGCAGTGCTGCCTTTGGAAAGCAAAGTGCTGGAAGAGAGATGTGACTTGTTCTTCCCTCAAGTCACAGAGCTGGTTGCACCTGTCCTTTGGTCCCATTATTACTAGCAGGCTTTGGGAGCAGTAGACTCCGAATGGCTGTTCCTTTTGGTAGCAGTACCATTCAGCTAAAGGGATTGAAACATGAAACATTCTGAAGTCTTCACATAAACGTTAGCATAATTCTGTTTTGCCAGGGCTTCACCTGATGCTTTGATGGACCTTCCCTTGTATGTCTTCAGTGCTTTGCTTCCACTGTCTTGCTCTTCGAAACTCACTTTTGCCCTGAAGCCTACAAAGGAATGTTCTGCAAATTTGCTGAGAAGACTGCCTAGCATACTAGTGTTGTCTTTTTTTTTTTATTTAATTTTCCATTTCCTCATGTATGTTCTTGATAGTCACCTGTTCTCTCTGACTTTATAGTTGGTGGTGTTTGAAGGTGGTGTTATTGATCTGTGTTTATGTGGCTTACTTATATTTATATACATGAATCAGGGGGCTGCTAAACCTTTTGGCATTCCCAACAGATGCAGGAATACAGTTCTGTTGTGGATCAAAAACATAGCACTCTGCATAAGCAGTAATCCCACATTTATTAGCCTTTTATGTGTGCAGTGTTTTACCAACGATACACACATGTGTAATCAAGTTTATTGTGATATCTTAAACTCTCAGAAATTCTTGATTTGCTTTTATGCTTAAATTAGATATTTTAAGGATCCACATACTATGGTGGTTTAAAAGAGGAGCTAAATATCTGCAAATTATGTGTGAACACTAGCTAATCCTGGAAGTGTGTAATTAGAATTGTTTTGTTTAATAATGGTTGCTTAGGCCTGTGCAACGTGGACAATTTCAAACTGAAATGACTGGACTGTGCGTTCTGTCATTTGCAAATTTTTTGTAGCTTGCCTTGGTGAGAAAAGATTCGTCTTCTCACTGGACACTTATAATGGTTAGAAAACAAAAATTAATGCTTTGTGTAATATACCCCAGGTGCTGGAGAACAATAAAATTATTCATTAGTGTTAATACATTTCTTCAGATGAGGTTTTTTGCTGTGGAATCTATTGGTTGTGTTCTGATTTCATACTGGTTTTTGTTATTTTAATTATATTTGGATATTCTTGAAAGTCCAAAACTCCAGCAAAACCAGGTATGACTAAACATTGGTGGTAAAAAAGTGACGTTCTGTTCAGTCTCTACCTTATTTCTATATGCAGATGTACCCTTTCAGCTTAATCCTGATTTACAGTACTCTGTTGGGCTAACTTTGGTCTGGAAACAACACTATACCAGTTTTGAGGCTGTCTCCTATGTTGTAGCCTAAATGCGCAAGAAAAAAAAACCCAAACCAAACTGAGTTCTAGCACTTTGAATCTTTTACTGGCTTAATGGAGGCAGGCAGTGTTGACTGGAGTGGGACTACTTGCTGCTGAAAGTAGGTGTGAGTTTTTGCAAAGTCCAAGTAAGAGTTTCAGTACCATATAGATTTTAATGAAATGCTGAGCTGTGGAACAGCTTGCTAATTGGAAGAATTAAAGATTTTTTCCATGCATTTTTTAACATTGTTTACTGTGTTGCTACTGTTTTTAACAAGAGACACACAAGTGTGTTTTTAACTGAAATGGTTTGATTTCTTGGATCATACTAGATAATTTTTGCCTGTCTGAGTAGGCTGCAATTATTAGATCGCTGTATTCACTGTCTAAGTATTTTGTACTGAAAAGGAGACGAAGACTTCTCATAAAACTTGTTAGTGTGTGTTATTTTCATGGATCTTTAAAATTCACAGGTGCCCGAATGAAAGCAAGCAGGACTTTGTATTTGCAGTTGTAAGAAAACAGTATTACTTCTGACACTTTTTTCCCCGTGTTTATATATATATGTATGTAAAAGAGACTATACTGCTGCAGTATAAAAATAATCTTGTTTTTCTTTGTAAGATACTCTGTTTTTTCAAAATGACTTTATAAACAGTGGGTGTTGAAGATTACCTTTTCATTTAGATTGCCACTGTATAACAATTTACCAAGTGTAATTTTTACATGTGCCAGCGTACAGTGCACATTTGTGGAAACTTTACGGGTGTTTTCATCTCTTGCATATCGCTATTTGAAATTTCCCCAGTAATGCTCTAATGGTTTCCATATGGTCACACCTGACTTGCTTTCAGAAAGCTAGTTGTGCATCTTTCTAGAGCCTGCTATTTCTTCTATGCAAATATTGCCTATTTCAGGCAGATTAAACAACACGTGTCACTATGGTGCATGAAGGAGAACGGATGGCACAATAAAGATACGCAACAAGTGATTTCCCATTAGTTAAACACTGACCTTTATCTCCAGGTCCTCAGCAGTTAATAGTAGTGTTGTGGTAGCACCCAGGCATCTCCTTGTGCATGGAAGATGATGATGGTTCTGCCACAAAAAGTATACTACACAGTTGTTATAAGGATCTAAACTCCCATGGCTGCTGCATGTCATATGTTAAGGGCTATTACAGAAATGATGAGAAACAACCTCTGCAAGTTATCATATTTTAAAATCTGTTAGATATTTATGTAACTGGGTTTTCAGTATGTGGCTCTGACTTCAGCATGTCAATGTTGTAGTCACAGGGAGCAGAAAGTAATAGTAAACTATTCTTATATTGGTAAAACAGAATTTAGTCAGTTTGGAAGGGGTGATATATCTCTAAGCTTTTTGCCCAAAATTAGAATGTAATTAGGAAGATAACCCTTACTCATAGTAGGAAGCTCTTAATAAATTCTTCATGTGTGGTTTTTAATCTTGTAGAAATTCTTCCTGGAATATGAAATAAACTATTTTTCTTTGCTATGAAAACATTAAGTTTGTGTATTTTTTGTTAAAGTTTAATTGCAAATTTGCAATACGTATGAAACAAATCTATTTTAAAACCTATCTTTGCAGAGGGGAAAGGGGATTGCCATGGTCTGTAGGTACCTGGAGAGTGGAATATAATTTCTGTTGCCCTAAATTACAGTCTTTAACTCCTTTTAAAATGCTACTGGAAGGCTTAGAAATGGTTGTAAAAACAATAAGCATTGTTCTGCATTTATGCATCTCCTAATCAGATTAGAAAGAAAAAAAGACTGACATGAAATGTACATTAGTACCATTATCAGTTTGACGGATGCAGTTCCCTCATTCAGACTTTCATTTGAGTAAGCCCTTTAATTATTTTTTTATAGTTCTGGTTTGGGACCTATTTTGGGGATTCAGTCCCTTCTGCCATATTTTGTAGCTACCTGATGTTCTGCAAGTGCTGTGATACTGTAGTTCTAAAACTTCATCTGGCACCTTATTTATTCTTTTTAATACATAGAACAGACATCATGAGATCTTTCAAATACAAAAAAAAGTATCTTAAATTACTTTTTTACCTGCAGTTTTATGTTTTTAAAGAAAGTTGGTTCTTCAGTGATATCCTGTTAAATAGAAGGCCATTAAAGTATGGCAGTTTTAAGGACAAGCTTCTGCACAAGAGTGGCTGTTAGGTTTAGAGACTGAAATATGCTCAATCTATTGTGTAGCAGTCTTATAACAGCTTAATGTTGTTTCTTCTGTCTCTCTAAGCCTGTAGGTGAAAGTAGAGCTCCTGCTGCTTTTTTCTCTAAAATATTCCTTTTCTCTTTCTGTAGTCCTAAAACTTTTAGCCCTTTTTCATGTTATATAAATAGAGCTGACTGAGCAGTTTACACTCCTACTTGACCAATGTATTTGTATCTGTAGATGTGTTTATAGTAGTGGTTCTCTTGTCTTTCTTGTTTGCTTTGGTAATTTAGTTTTCTTTCTTGCATTTTCTTTTGTTATTTAGTTTGGCTTTTTCGGTGAACAGACAATTTATCTTGTGCTATGTCATACTTCGCAGAGATTTTAGGGAGCTTGCATATTTAAGTGTGATTTCTAGTGGGAAGAATATATTTGACAACAAACCTAGAATGGAGATAAAACATAGAGTTGCAAACATGCTTCAGAATTCGGGCACTGTCAGTCTTTGTCTCTGCAGGCCTTAGAGTTTGAGAACCTAGAGGGTGAGTTAGACCCCAATAATCATTAGTGCCACATATAGTAATTCTTGCTATTTTCAAGTATGCTCCATTTCATTTCTTGTCTGATGTTAACAGTCAAATGGATCATCTTTAACTTCTATTTCCTACTTCAGTTGATTGCATTGGACACTGGATATGTTCACTTTTCAGAAAGTTAATTGTTAGAAATATAGGACTATGCAAATGGGGCTCTTGAATAGGAATCAGCAAGAGGTTTTGTGGATCATTTGCTTCCCCCTGCCCCCTTTCCCCTGCCCCAACCTCTTTTAATGAGGGAGAGCAAAGAAAACATTTTCATTCTTAAAGATGATACTTGTTTTGTACTTGCTTGCAGGAGAGATTAAAGTTGGTGACTGTTCTGGGTGCTGGGCTGCTGTGTGGAACTGCTTTGGCTGTCATTGTGCCAGAAGGAGTACATGCACTTTATGAAGACATTTTGGAGGGTAAGAACCAAACCCAGATGGCCTTGTTCACCATGACCTAAGTTATACTGGTGCTTGTTTCTAGGGCTTTTAACATGAGATTGGTGGGAGGGTTTCACAGCAGCATGACACAAAGCTGACATAGCATCACAAAACTGCAATAGGTGTGATATTGCATGTTTATGGTGATCTGACAGAGGGATGTGATCAGGCTGTGGAGCAGATGACTCGCTGAGTGATCCAGTCATTTGCGGGTCCAGGTACTGTACTGTTCATGGAACCACAGCCTTTTATGCCAGGTCACGTGTAGTGTTCATTATTCTGGGGAGAGTTAAAGTTTAACTTTCACTGGAACTTCAAAGGAGGTATAAGGATGGCTTTGGCAGAGAGTGAAATTGTGGACTATTTGCTGTTGCTTTTTGTAGTTTAGTTTGCTTCTTATTAAAGCTATCGCAGGAAGTGTTTTATAGATCTATACGTACTTGCCCTTATAAGAATTTCCTCCTCTGAAGCTGAAGAGCATCTTGGGATTAAGTTACCTTAATATACTTGGCTGAAAATGGTGGTTATATAGGACTAATTCAGAGTAGGAGGCATTTCTTTCTTGGGTGGTATTGCATATAGAATCTGTGCATAGTCCCAAGTTCAAGCATCCAGTTCTAGTCTGCTGTTGCTGGTCTTAAAAACCTTACACAGTGATTACGTGTCTTGTAGAGACGTGAGTGTGGAGCACATCTTATATCCAGAAGTCTCATAACCTCAAATTGAGGTTTAGTAACATTTTTTTTAAATAGTCAGAGCTCATTACGTCTGTTTGGAGTGTACTTTAAATCTTGCTTTATCTTGGAGTCTTGTGCTATTACATTGCCATTGCATGTGTGAGATTTTTCCAGTATGCTCAGAATCAGAAATCTGTCTGAAGGTAAACAGCAACAACTTAGTGGTCACAGGAGAAAAGACTGTAAAGTTGAGGCTGTAGAGAACTTTGCAAGTGTCTGATGTAGCGTTGTTGTCAATGTGGGGTTGAGAGATAATTGTAACAGTCTGATTTTATTGTACTACCATTTTTTTCTTGTTTCTACACGGTTTAAAATTTCTTTTTAGTAATATGCTTTATCTTTTTTTTAGTTTCTACTAGATCTTTGTTGTTCTACTTAGATTTAAAGTAAACAGAGGAAGATACATAAAATCATCTTTTATCAAGAAGTGAAAGAACCTCTGATTATGCTTTTATGCTATACTGTAATTTGTGCAACTCTAATGTAGGGTGTCTCTAATGAGCTGTAGTTTGGGTTTGCTCTGCATTCAATTTTAATTCTATGTATACTAATTTTTTCTTGTAATGATATTGCTAGCAGTAAATACAATTGCTGTGAACATTCGCATTTTTTTTTTTCTCCTAAATGGGGCATACCGTTCATGTATGAAATCCCCAGTCTGCTGTTTACAGCTATATGCTATGTAACTGAAAGTTTAGTATGTGGAGGAAAAAAAGGCACTTCCCATTACTGCAGCAGTAATATCAGAAGTATTTACCTAGGAACAAAGAATTTGTCCTGTAAGTGAAGTCAAACTCAATTCCTAACTCAGTGTTGTGACTAAAGCCAGTCTGTCTGTAAAGTTATGGGTGGGGTGGTTTTTGTATTGCAGAGGCAAGATTCATGGGTATTATAGATTTAACTACAAAAAATATTGCCAATATTTAGGTTATTCAAAGTTAAGCTTAAGATTCTGAGAACTAACAGCTTTCGGTACATTTTTCTTGCAGTTTCACCCATTTGTGTAATTAAACCTAGAAGGATGCCTAAGGGATCATTGGGGTATATTGAGCAGGGCACACTGCAGGCTCATGGTAAACTTTGTGTTCACAAGGTCCCTGAGGTCCTTTTCTGCAAAGCTGCTTTTCTGATTGTTGGACCTACCATCTACTGGTACCTGGGATTATTCCTTTCCAGGTGTAGATCTTAAGATCAAATCAGATCTTAAGAGAAAATATAGTTCCTGATCAAGCATTTGAACATGAGTCCTCTTCATGTTCATAGTTTATATTATAGTGCTAACTGATGCTTGGTGATGGAGTAGACATTAATGTATCACCTAATTTCAGGGTAGCTTAGTGAGACAAAGTAAATGTCTTGGGGTGGGGATGGAATTAAAGCTTGTGCAGGGAAAGGAAACAACCACACGACATTCAACCCTGGGGCTTTGGAGTTTCTAGGATGGTACTGACATTTGTAGGATACTGCTGTCTTAACTGTTGTTCTAGTCCATATCAGTGGAGTGTATAAATGCTAACTTGTTTAACTAGAGACTGATGCTTTGAGATATAAAGTTCATCTTCTTTAAGATTGCATTAGATTGCTTAGTGGGTGGAACCTATTTTATCTCCTCATCCTGTATTTTCTCACTTAAAGGGAGGTTGTGACCTAGCTACTTAACAGTATCTCTGAATACTGTCACAACTAGCAAATTCAATTACAAAGAAGTTATTCAGCAATTTTTATCAATCAATTTGTATTTAAAATGCAGTGTTTAAACAAAGTAGCCTGGCTTATCAAGTGTTAATGCTTCCTTTGCTTTTCTATGCTGAAGATGTATGGGGAGAGGCCAGCCAGACAGATACATGGTTCCATAAGTAAATGGTCTAGGACTGACCTTAAATGAGGACTTTTGTGTAATGTCCAAGAAAGCATGAGGAGTGCTTTCAGCAAAGGAGGAGAAATGTGACTGTGCCATGTTTAGTCCCCTGTCTCCTAATCTGTTTACTTGCCTGCCACAGGGAAGCATCACCCAGCGAGCGAGATGCAGCGTGTGATTGAGTCTGAGAAGGTAGCGGAAATCCCGGTTGTACATGAATATGGCCATGACCATTCCAGGTTGCACGCCTACATCGGTGTATCCCTTGTCCTCGGCTTTGTCTTCATGCTGTTGGTAGACCAGATAGGCAGCTCTCATGTGCACTCTACAGATGGTAAGTAAAGATTCACTTCAATTAGTCTTGCTAATTAGTCTTAATTAGCAAGTTGCAATTTTCTTGACTGTTACTAGGGTTTAATTTGATCGATCACACCCAGAGTTTCAGTAGGTGCTTTACAAGCATAAAGCAAGGTCTGTGCGAAATGTTTTTGCTGGAAATCTGTCCTGGAATTCAGCATAATTTCAGAGCTTGCTTGGCTAACTTGAAGTAACTGTATGAGCACATATGGTGCAGGAGTGGAGGGTGATGACACCTGAGTTGCTGTCTGTTTTACGGTATCCATAGGGGATTTCTTTGCTTTCCAAAAAACTTCAGGTTAATCTTGTCTTCATTTGTTTTTCCTACTTAATTGTCAAACATGTAGGTAAAATTTGCAAAGGACAAAAAGTTATCTTTACATAAGACTGCAGAAATGACTAGATGTAACCTCTGGTCCTTTACTGTAACTGCACAGCTGGACTCCCACACTAGTCTAGAGCCTCGCTTACCTCAAAATGTTTCCTGCTTAGTCCAAAGATTTCTCAACTTCATTGCAAGACTCTCAAAATGCCTACAGTTGCTTCTTTTTCCTGCCTGTGGATTCATGCTCAGACTGTAGCTTGAAGTGCACCGAAGGTGTTTTGTCATCTGAAAAGGTATTTTATTACCTTTGCCTGCTCATTTCCTCCCAAATAATTTCCTCTGATGGTGGAATTTGACCCTCAAAACTTAAGGAATTGATCTTGAAGTAAAACACACGCACAAAGGAGGTGGAATATGTTTTGGTTGGATCCCTGGCAGTGTGGTAGGATGGATGGGAAGCCAGTGTAGGGGCTCTGTTGCATTTGTGCTCCTGGAGAAGCATAAATGGAGCCGTAGCCATGGCTAGCTGATTTTCAGATCTTTTCAAAGGAATCGGTGGCAGTGAGGATGACAAGGGGATGCAGGTAAGCAACTGCCAGTAGTACCCTTGGCTTGTACAGATTATGACCCTTTCCTATGTCTCTGATCAGAGCAAATATCAGAGGAAATTTGACTGTGATCTGTATTAGAGAGAAATACTATAAATTAGGATGTAAGTAAGGTTTTGCCTAGTCTGTATATCTCTCATGGAAAATGTAGTAGTGTTTTTGTAATGTTTTTTAAAGCTACCAAAGAAAAACATTTTACTTATTTGAACCAATGTCTGCTAGTTTTGTTATCTCCAAGTGGCTGGATTTTACCTCTCCAAACTACAAAAATTCTGTAGGTTAGAATGGAGGTATGAAATTAAATGTGACACTCTCTCTGAGTGTGTTTAGTTCTAGTCAATCCAAGACAAATCCAAAGGAAATATTCTATGTGAACGATCTCCTTCTGTGTGACATGAGTAGACTACTGCAGTCATCCAACGGGAGGTTATGCAATTAATTGCTCAAATAGGCTCCCCTTGATTCAAAAGATCAATCTGACTGAAGAGAATACATCCATTTTTTGCTAGCTCTCTTCCCTGATCTGACTCACTGGGCAACTACATGGGTGCCTGGGCACTAAGAGACCGGAGGGCAGGGAGACGGGCAGGAGGAAAGGAACGGGACTTTCCCTTTTGGCAGCAGTGCAGACTTACTAATATAGCTGTGTAAGTGTGTTTGCAGTCAGCTTACTGACCACTGGTATAATTAAATAACAGCTGCTCAACTGTTTGGAATTAAACAGTCGAATAATTAGATGTTTCTATACTTGTGTGGGGCTTGCCTGCCCTGTTTGCTGCAGTGATTCTTCGTAACGGTTTCACTGCCTGTTGCGTAGTGGTGGGTATTGCCCTGTTGTGCTGTATGAGCTAACCTGCAAATGTCCTCAGAGTAGTTGTCAAACAATTGCAATCAGAACACTGTATCTCAAGCAGGACTAGCTGTACTTCTTCTCTGTGGTGTATAATGTTGGACAGAAATCTTTGCCACTGCTGCCATGACAAGTAGAATTTTTAGCTTATTGGGAATTGCTGGAGAATCAGTGCAACAGAGGCTGCCCCAGACTGTCACCTGAAGGAAAATGCCAACACTGGGCTACGCGAGGGAAAATCATCCTGACTCTTGGAGCAGCTCTGGATTCTGGGGATGCAAAACTATCTTGTCTTCCCCTTGGTAGCACAGAGTTAGCTTTTTTTCAGAAGGTTAAGAAAAACAACTCCTTCTGCTTATATCAGTGGTCCTGTAAATTGTGAAGAATCATCTATGATTCTGTCACTTGTTTGTTGGCGGAACTTCAGGTGTTTTGAAGGTGTTAAGTATCGAACTATTTTATAGTAAATCTAATGCAGAAATAGAAAAGCTGATAGTTTTGAATATAACTGCCTGAGTTGCTGGTAGAGACCGCTGCAATGATGCTTTTTTTTTTTTTTTTTTCCTCCAGCATAATTTGTGTGTTTGTTCTCTTTATCCTAACTTTTTTTCTCATAACCATTTCAGATCCAGAAGCTGCAAGATCAGGCAACTCCAAAATCACCACGACGTTGGGACTAGTAGTCCATGCTGCAGGTAATGTGGGACCTATTGTTAGCACTTGACAATGACTTTCATTGCTGTGTGGTTCATCTTTAGGTGTGATGGAAACAGATACGTTTCGGTTTTGAAGGTGGCTTTTTAATACACAGCAAAAAAAGTGGGGAGGAGGAAGGAAGAACTAAGGATCTTCCCCAAAACTTACTGGGAAAACATAACACCAGTGCTCAGAATGTTCCCTGGAGTTTTATTTGGGTACAGTGTTTTCACTCCTTTATTTTTCCCACTTGAAAAGTTGTATGATGCCCACTCTGCTTCTCCAATTCCTTTGCTGGCTGCTTTAGGTGCTGAATTTCAATATGCGCTAACATGGGTGGTAAGTAGTATGAAACACCTTTAGGTTTGCTTGTCAGCTGGCCTATGTTTAAAAAAAAACCCAATAAATTAAGTTTAAAAAAAGAGTATCTGATGGATAAAGGAGATTATAGGGTGGAGTGCAAAGATTTGACTGAAACGGATTTGGCCTGACTTGCAAAGACTGAAGAAATTACATATGTATGTCAGTCAACCCATGTTCATGTTGTAATTCTTCACTGTATATTTGTAGTACAAATATGATGCTTTTTAATTTCTTGCTGAAAGTTGTTGTCTAGATAAGTCATAAGATTTTGATCAAAAATATTTTTTCACTAAATTAAGTATCTGTATATTAAAGATTATTATAGTATCCATTTCCTATTTTATTTAGACAATATATTTAAGTTAAATTGTAAGAAAATAGTATTTATATTTTAAAATTCATTTGAAGAGTAATTAAAATTTTTTCATGCTTAATATCTAAAGCAGATTTTTTTTAATTTAGACAGGCAACCACTTCTACTACAGAAGACTAAAATAACTGGTTACCTGGTCCTAACTTGCTAGAATGTGTCAATACTGAATAGATTCTCAGTATGGTTTTTACGGTCTTGAGGAAAAAAGAAACAGCTCCTGTTGAGAGTTGTCTGAAATCCTGAAATTGTTGTGGCTTAACAAACAAAGGGAAGTGAATCATGTGTTGGGTTGCTATTGTTAATGGCATTTTGATTAACAGTACTTCACAAATCAACATGTTTTGTACTGTCAGCCATTGAGGGGGTGGGAAAGCTGAAACTGATCGGGATGGAGGAATAATCCCTGAATTTGCACTCCTCTTTCAGCTGATGGTGTTGCGTTGGGTGCAGCAGCTTCTACGTCTCAGACTAGTGTCCAGTTGATAGTATTTGTTGCAATTATGTTGCACAAGGTAAGTCATCATCCAGAAAATTTTGTTTGCTCTTTAAAAGACTGTTAAAGCATACAGAAATTACTAAAGATCTTAAGTTTCCTTAGTGATATAATCTGGAAATATGTAACGCCATTGAAATGAACTGGCTAGTAGTACAGCCTCAAGGACCAAAAAGCACTGGTATGATATATGACAGAATAATAAATGATGGATGCTAAGTCTGAATGAGGTACAAATGAGAGAGAATTCTGACTGCCTACCCTGATTGCAGAGGTTGGGACAAGTCTCCCAAAAATAGGGAGAGAAGAATAGAAATGTGGCAGCTTCACACTGACTTTTTCTAAAGATAGTGAGGTATTATGTTTTGTGTTTGTGTGGTTTTGTTGTTCTTGTTGTTCGGTTGGTTTTGTTTTGTTTTTTTTTTTAAACCCAAGCATACAGAAAACCCTCCAAGATTTTTACTGCTGCAAGAGATGTAATTGAGAGAAGTTTTAGAGGGTGAAGTTCGGACGTATATGCTAGTGTATTCAAAGAGGAAAAGCAGTTTTATGCTGATTACAACAGTTTTCTGGTTCTGTGACGTTGTCTAGAAGGATATTTATGTTATAAAGGTTTTTAGTGTTTAAAGGGCTAGTCTTTTGAAACCAGTTAATATCAGAGTACTAAAATACAACTTCCCGTTACCTCTTATTGTAGTAGCTTCAACATCAGTCATATGCCATTTCTGCAGGAAAAACTTTCAAACATTGTTCTGATGGTAATAAGCAAACAGTGACTCCTAAAGATGGGAAGATTTTTTTTTTTCCCTTAATGTTTGTACGAAGGTATATATTAGCTATATAGGTTCTAAACATATGTGTGCAGACACATATTTGACTTATGGCAGCACATGTGTATATTACAGTGGTTAGTCATACATTCATCAAAAAACTTGCTTCCATAATTGCATGTCCAAGATGTTAGGAAATCCAGATCTACTATGTCTCTTCACAGTTCATACAATAAGCCCTGCTTTACATAACCCTCTTCAAAGGTGGCAAAGTCAATGTCATGTCTTGCTGTGAATTTTAGTTTATGGCTATTGGCAAGTGAAACTTGTTGGTATTATTCTTAATGTTCAAATTAACTGTCTTCTGAAATTGTACAATTGTACAATTTTTCGATGTTGTATGGAAGATTGTCAATAAGTATTTGGTAATGGAAGGGAAATGTATTTCTTCTCTGGTGTCATTTTTTATTCTTATCTTCTGATCTTGTTTGATGCTTTTGTCTCTGTCATCTTTTTTCCTCCCTCACTCATGGTTTCCTCCTCCTAGGTTTAAAATAAAAAAGATTCTGTGTATAAAACTGCTCAATATAATTAAGTTTACATCTTATCTCAAATAAAATTGTCAGAGTGGACTGCTATTGTCCTTGTGTGAGCAAAAATATAGTCAATTCCATAAGTAGAAGGACAGCTATGCCTTGTGGATGAGAAACCATCAGAGGGAGAGGAAGGAAGTATTTGTTTGCTTCCCGGTGGGAACAGAAATGGAACTGAATGATGAACTAATCAAAAGAGCTCTTAAGTCTTTGTTCATGTGGAGACTGACAGCTGTATTTCTTTGGGAATTTTTTTCCTCTCCATGTTAATTGTAGAATTTTTCTGCTGTAGCTATAGAAACTGTCCATCTAAGGATGCGTAGTGTCAGGACAAAAAATATTACAGAAGTTAATGGAGACTTAGGGATTATAGCAACCACTTGAATCAGTGAACTTTTGAATATTTATGATGACTACAAATATGTGTACTCTGATATACAGAGCATGGGTTTGCATTAGGTACTATTGTTACGGTAGGACATTCTGCAGGATTCTATTGATTTGGGTTAATTGCAACATATACTAGTGCTTTCCCTGCGTTTCTTCCAATTCAGTGCATTTCAAAGCAGTAAGTTGTATGTCAACTTTATCTCAGATTTCAGGGGGTTTTAGAAGGGATTGTATTACCAATGAATATTGTTTTTTGCAGGCACCAGCTGCCTTTGGCCTGGTTTCCTTCCTGATGCATGCTGGGCTGGAACGGAATCGAATTAGAAAACACTTGCTGGTCTTTGCGTTGGCAGCACCTGTTATGTCCATGGTGACATACTTAGGGCTAAGCAAGGTAAGTCTGTGATTGTTGTTCTGCCCGAAACGTAGTTTAGTAGTGGAATTTGGGGAAAGAAATATCATACAAGGGTCATTTAAAAAAAAAAAAATCCAAACTGAAAAAAAAAGCAGGAAGGAGATGTGTAAGAAAAAAAAAGTAGATAAAAAGGTAGCAATATGAATCTGTGAAACAAAATAACCATTTCTTTCCATCAGAACCAGTGACATAGCTTCTCTATAGAGATATGTATAGGTTTAGGTTATTTTAGAAGGTTAATTTGTCTTTTTCTACCTCTTCCCTCTGAGAATTTAATGTATTTACTTACATACCCCACTTTATCTGATGACTACACAGTTGAGTAATTTTCGGTGTTGCTGCATGCGTTCTTGTTTTAATGTGCAGGTAGACAATCATCTCTGCTAGATTTCCCCACTGTCCCAGAATTGGTCGTGTCTCACACCCCTGAAAGCATAGTCTTGTCTCTGTACAACAAATGGTCCGTGAAATGAGTCATTGCACATGAGTTTGTGTTTAGCCCCTCCTGTATTTCTAACTGTTGTGGGCTGTGCTGGTGACACTATGATGTTATCATAAAATAACATGTGATCTCATGAAACGCAAGGCATGAGATGAATGATTAAGTAAATAGTGTAGGCTAATCCTTTTACTTGCTGGAAAGAAGTTACAGTTGATGCTGTAGCACAGGAAATGGCAGAAAGGGTTAGGGTTGTAAATAGAAATGAGAATGGTGTTTGAGCATTCTTTCGATGTAGGCTCACCGAGAGTTGGGTTTGCACTTTGCACTTCAGAAAGAACAGAGAACTGGTAAGGTGCAAAGGCTGTCACAGTGGTGTTGTAGTTCCACAGCAGAAGGTGTATTTCTGCTCTTTGGAAAAGTAACCTGAGAGTATACCGGAGAACTAACATCACACTTGAGTTGGAAATTGTTCAGGAAGCATTTTGAAACTGATACGAGCAGGTTTGCATTTCATTATACTTAATGATGTGTAGCATGGTCTTAATCCTAGCATTTGAAGAGGTGCTCAGGTTTTTAGTCCAGAAGACGCATCTCTATATGAAATTTGCATGAAAATTCTGGAAAAGTTTGGGGTGTTTACTTGTACATCCAAATGAAGCACTGAAAGATTGATGATTTGGGACTTAAATCTAGCAAATCTTGCTCTGACCAGCAGGGGACCAGATATGTAAAGGCTAACATCTTGTTTGAACTGTTTAGAAGAAGGGGGGGGAGTCAGTCCAGGGTGTCCTTCCTAAATTTTGTGGGTTTGCAATCTGAATTTTACATTTTTCAAAGCACACTTTGTCATTTTGACATTTTGTATGTTGCTGTGAGATGGTTAAACAAGATGCTTCTGCATAGATTGTGGCTTTTTTTCTTCTGTAAGGGTTCCTAGAAGTCTGAAGTGACCTAACTAGGATGAGAGGCATCTTTCTGCCCCCCACATCAACTTTAGAATGTCAGTTGTTACATGTAATGTGCAAGACATTAAGCAACACATTAAACTGTTGTCATTGTGAGAGAATGAGAGTTGACAGAAGGACAACAGTTTAATGTGTTGCTTATTGTGAGAGAATGAGAGTTGACAGAAGTCCTACTATGTCTGGACATTTACAGAAGTTTTTTTATTATTGATTGAAGAGCTTCTCTTATCCTCATTTTTTTCTTTCCATTTTTTTTTCCATTTCAGAGCAGCAAAGAAGCCCTTTCAGAAGTCAATGCCACCGGAGTTGCGATGCTGTTTTCTGCTGGGACTTTTCTTTACGTTGCCACAGTTCATGTCCTCCCAGAAGTAGGAGGAATTGCTCATAGCCACAAACCTGAATCAACTGGAGGGAAAGGACTCAGTCGCCTGGAGGTGGCAGCCCTAGTATTAGGATGCCTTATTCCTCTAGTTTTGTCCGTTGGACACCATCATTAAGCGCTCGAATTTCACCGTTCTCCTCCTTGATCTGACGTGAGCAGTAAATGTTGGCTGCTCCCTTTATCGTTGTCTCTTACCCATCATCCATCCCATCCACTTTATGGAGTTCAGAGGGAACCTTGATTGCAAGATGAGGAATACTGGGAAAGTTTTTAGTGTAGCAAAATGTACTTTGGCAGCCGGACATAAATTCTATGTAACTTTCTTTTCTGAAGACATTTGCTATTTTAATTGTTACTTCTGGCCCTATTCTCAGGGACGATGGAATTTGGAGTTTAAGAAAGGTGAGCGGGGAAGAACATAGCGACTCATCACGAAATTGCAATCACCAAAGTATCCTGCGATTCAGCTTTCACAGCTGAGAGCAAAAACAAAGGATGGCTGCCTTGTGAGAGGCTGAAGGTCTTACTAATGAAGAAGGGGACTCTCCCCCATCAGTTCTATGTTGTCTTGACAATGCGACTGGTCTTTGTAATGTTTGTCACTAATGGTATTGCAAAAATGGGCTACACTGGGGATTCTGGACAGCACTGCTATTGTCACAGAAGTGTCACTGATAAGAAAGAAATGATTTAGATGAAGTGTAGGATTAGAGTAGGAAATCAGCTGGTTAAGAAAGTGCAAATGAATTTTGCAGTGTATTCCATTATTTAAGACAAAGGATAGAAGCAAGGAGAATGTTGATTGTTTATGCAATTGTTGATAAATTTTAAAAAGGCAGTATTTCTTGGGAGATGGTTGTCTGCTAAGTCAGTAAAGCATATGCAACAGAAATGTCAGCAGGA